GTGGGGCCATAAGGTTTCATTCCCATTAGTCAAGCTCATCATAGAATAAATAACCAATTGATTTATGGTTGCCTGGATCCTGATTAGAGTCTGGAAGATTCCTTTTTTCCTTCTTTCTCCTTTTTTGGGGGGGATCACAGGTAATTTGTGATCTCTCTTAATAGCACAGGATCACTGTAGCAGAAACAGACTCTAAATGAGGCGCTTAGAAGACTGGTCTTTGTTTTGAGTCTGTTGCCTATAGGAGTTAAAGAGTCTCTGGTCCTCTCGGCCATTCATCTCCCCACCTGTAAAACGAGAGGCCTGTACAAGGCATCTCACAGGACAGAGATTTAATGAACATGGTTCTCTGGTTGATACTGCGTTTGGACCTCAGAGTGTGGCGTGGGAGGGGCGCGGTTTCAGCATAAGAGAGTAGGGAGTGGGGAATGGAGTACATGGCAGGGCACCAGAGAAATAAAACAAGGACACTCGAGGAATGGAGGGAAGCTGCTGCTGCCTTCCTGTTTAGTGGCAATTGTCAGCCTGCTGAGGCCAAGGTGCCCTACTGCTCCAAGAAGCACTGCCCAAGATTTCTGAAGGACTTGGCAGCCTGCCCTTCCCTTCACCCACAGCAAGTCACCCGTTATTCCTCTCGCAGCTCCAGCAATGTCTCTCATATCCAGAGGAACCTGAATATTTTACCAGCCAGACCAAGGTGTTCTGTTTCTAAATCAAATCATCACTGTCTTTTTACAACTTTGCATTAAATAATAGGTAAAAACTAAAACTTTTAATAACTGTTTCTTCTATATTTGTGGATCCTGCTATTTCTCTGTATAAAAATCTGATACAAGCTGATTTAGCTCAAAATACATGAAACTGTTGTTGTTGTTATTATTATCTTGAGACAGGCTCTCACTTTGTCACCCAGGCTGCAGTGCAGTGGCACAAACACAGCTCATTGCAGCTTCAGCCTCCTAGGCTCATGCAATCCTCCCACTTTAGCCCTTGAATAGCTGGAACTACAGGTGCACGCCACCACACCCGGCTTATTTTTGTATTTTTTGTAGAGACGGCATTTTGCCATGTTGCCCGGGATGGTCTTAAACTCCTGAACTCTCTCAAAGTGAGACTCTATCTTAAAAGAAAAAAGAATATATGAAAATCTTTCTAATAATTTCAGAGTCACTGGCCTATGGCATATCTGTGAATTTTCTCCTTGTCCAGCCTTGTGACATGTGGGATCGTGTGCATGTGCTCATTACCTGGGGGAAGTGGGCCGGTTCTGTTATATGTAGAGATGGCTCCACATATGGCAATCCTTCCATATTTCTTCATCTGGCCGATAACAGTGTTTGAAAACTCTCCACCTACCTAAACAGACAGGAAACACAAAACCAAAGACAAAACGTTAAATAATCTAAATACTAGAGATTCAGGAAAATCATTAAGTCACAATCATTATTTTACAATACCTGTTTTAGCAGCAACAAAACTGATTGAATGAGCCCAACTGTACAGAAGGTTGCAATGAGAAAAAGACATTAGAAACAGGCATTTTCGGCAGGGCGTGGTGACTCACACCTGTAATCCCAACACTTTGGCAGGTGGATCGCCTGAGGCGGGTGGATCGCCTGAGGTCGGAGTTCAAGATCAGCCTGGCCAACATGGTAAAACCCTGTCTCTGCTAAAGATACAAAAAATTAGAAGGGCATGGTTGCGGGCCGCCCTTAATCCCAGCTACTTGGAAGGCTGAGGCAGGAGAATTGCTTGAACCCGGGAGGTGGAGGTTGCAGTGAGCTGAGATCACACTACTGTACTCAAGCCTGGGCAACAGAGCAAGACTCCATCTCAAGAAAAAAAGACAAAAATAATAAACAGGCATTTTCATTTGACTCTAAGACCATACCTTTTATAAGTTATATATTTTACTTTATTATATATTGAAGCTCTCTGATCAGTCCAATAACCTCATTGTCTTATAAGTTAAAGGTATGTAAAAATACTCAAAAGTTGTATAAAGAACAAACTTGGAAGACTGGCACTTTTCAATTTCAAAACTTAATACAAAGCTAAATTAATTAAGATAGGGTGAGAATAGAAATATAGGTCAATGGAACTGAATCACGAGTCCAAAATGGGTTCATAAATGTGAGGGTTCATCACATTTATGATCAATTGGTTTTCCTCAGAAGTACTAAAGCAGTTCAATAGAGGAAAAATAGTCCTTTCAACAAACGGTGCCCAACAACTGGATTTCCACATGGAAAATAATGCAGTTGGGCCTCTTCCTTCAAATGCATGGTAGACCTGAATATAGGAGCTAAAACTATAAAACTCTTAGAAGAAAACACAGGAATAAATCTTCATGGCTCTGAGAAAGGAAAAGCCTTCTTAGACATGACACCAAAAGCTCAAGGAACAAAAGAAAAATAGATTAATTGGGCCTCATCAAAATTTAAAACTTTTCATGCTTCAAAGAATACCATCAAGAAAGTGAAAGCCAGCCTGGGCAACATAGTGAGACTCCACCTCTACAAAAAAAAAAAAAATTAAAAATTAGCTGGGTATGATGGTGCATATCTGTGGTCCCAGCTACTTGGGAGACTGAGGCAGGAGGATCGCTTGAACCTGGGAGGTCAAGGCTGCAGTGAGCCTAATCATCACACTGCAGTCCAGCTTGGGAGACAAAGTGAGACTTAATCTCAAAAAAAAAAAAAAAAAAAGGCAAAAACAAAAACAGAAAGAAGCTTAAAGGCAATTCACTGAATAGGAGAAAATATTTGCAAGCCATATAGTGTTGGTCCTCATTATTAGTGGATTTCATATTTGCATATTGTGAACTACTTGCTAAAATTGTATTTGTAACCTCAAATCAGTACTCACTAAGCTTTCCCTGGTCACTTGCAGGCATACATGGAGCAGTAAAAAAGATGCAGATATTCTCTGAGGCTGAATAAGGCCATGCTCTGCCTTCTTGTTTCAACTGTTATACAGAGAAGACCAGAGGATGAGGCCACTGCGGTGTAGTTCAAGAGGCTCTGGTTCTGGGAAGAGTTGGATGGGGTATGAATCCCAACTCTGGGGGTATTAGCTAGTGGGGCGGCCACAGGCCTTTTGTCTTTCATAAAATAAAACCATAAAATAAAATTGAACCTCCTTTGCTCTTTCATAAAATAAAAGCTACTAGGATGAGTTGTTTTAAGGGTTTAAGATTATAGTCTATGTGGGATATGTACATACATGTACATATTTCCCCTAGAAGCAATGGTTCAGCCTTGGCGGTGACCTTATAGAACATAAATATCGTGAATAATGAAAATCCACTGAATCTAATAAGGGACTTGTATTGGTAAGATGTACAGAACTCTTGGCCAGGCACGGTGGCTCATGCCTGTAATCCCAGCACTTTGGGAGGCCAAGGTAGGTGGATCACCTGAGGTCAGGAGTTCGAGACCAGCCTAGCTAACATGATGAAACTCCATCTCTACTAAAAATACAAAAATTAGCCAGGCGTGGTTGTGCATGCCTCTAATCCCAGCTACTCGGGAGGCTGAGGCAAGAGAATCACTTGAACCCAGGATTCGGAGGTTGCAGTGAGCCAAGATCATGCCATTGCACTCCAGCCTGGGTGACAGAGCAAAAATCTTTGTCTCAAAAACAAAAAACAAAACGAAACAAAAAACAAAACAAAACTCTTACAACCTCACAAATAACCTAACTGAAAAATGAGCAAAGATTTTGAACAGACATTTCTCCAAAGAAGATATAAAAATGGCAAATACATACAGTGAAAGATCCTCAATATTGTTAGCCATAGGAAAATGTAAGTCAAAATCAAATCACAATGAAATATCACTTTGAACCCACTAGGATGGTTATAATAAAAAAGACAGACAATAGCAAGTGTTGGTGAGTATGCAGAGAAACTGGAACCCTCATACACTGCTGGTGGGAATGTAAAGTAGTGTAGCCACCTTGCAAAACAGTTTGACAGCTCCTCAAAATGTTAAACATGAAGTTATCATATGACCGAGCAATTTTACTCATAGGTATATACTTAAAAGAAATGAAAACATCCACACAAAAACCTCTGCATGAATTTTCAAAGTAACATTATACATCATAGCCAGAAAGTACAAGCTAATACCCATCAGGCTGGGTGTGGTGGCTCACGCCTGTAATCCCAGCATGCTGAGAGGCCAAGGTGGGAGGATCCCTTGAGCCCAGGAGTTCCAGACCAGCCTGGGCAACATGGCGAAACCCTATCTCTACTAAAAATATATAAATTAGTTGAGTGTGGTGGCACAGCCCTATAGTCCCAGCTACTTGGGAGGCTGAGGTGGAAGGATTGCTTGAGCCAGGGAGGTCGAGGCTGTAGTGAGCCATGATCACACCACTGCACTCCAGCCTGGGTGACAGAGTGAGACCCTGTCTCAAAAAACAAAAAAAGGGAATAAAGCACTGATAAATTCTACAATATGGATGAAATTTGAAAACATCTTGCTAAGTGAAAGCAGCCAGTCATAAGAGATCACTTTTAGTGGGGAGGAGGGTGGGTAATGGAGAGTGACTGCTAATGAGTAGCGTTTTTTTGGGGGGTGATGAAAATATTCTTAAACTGGTTGTACAATTTTGCCAATATAGTAAAAATCATTGACTTCTACATGTTAAATGAGTGAATTACATGGTAGATGAATGATATCTCAATAAAGCTGTTTTTTAAAAAAGGCATATATACTTTCTTCATGTATCCCAAATGCAAACTCTAGGAATATATTTCCTTGTATAGCCGGTCCTCAACCTTTTTAGGCACCAGGAACCAGTTTCCATCTGGAGAACCAATTTTTCCCCGGACGCTGTGTTGGCGGAGACTTCGGGGAAGAGTTCAAGACATTGTGCTTTATTGTGCCACCTTATTTCCTATCTTAATTACAATGCTCAATAATAACGAAATAATTATAACAAGGTCACCATAACATCAGATCAGTGGGAGTCCTTTCCTGCAACAGACGCGTCCCATCTGGGGGTGATGGGAACACACCGTCCTCATGCAGGCATCAGGACACGTGAGTAGTCGGCGCAATTCCCATAAGGATACACACACACCTAGTCCCTCACAATGCTATTCCACTAACGGTTTCACACTCCTTATGGGCAATCTAAGCCGCCCGCTGGTCTGACACAGGAGCGCACGCCCAGCAGTACTGGCGTGAACAGCGCAGGGGCTGATAACAACCACAGATAACTTGCTGCTCACCTACCTCACGCTCCTGCTGCTGCATCCCAGTTCTGAAGGCTATGGACCACAACCCACGCATTGGCTCAGCGGTAGGAGAACACCTGTGTTATATAGATACCCCATTAATCAAAACTCAGATATACAAATCCAGTTTTACTTACCACCAATTCAACCAACTAACAATCGCTAAACCATCCAAGGAGAGGCTTCCTTCAAGGTTTCTCCAAAGACTCTACTGCTTGTATTAAAGACAACAGCCAAACCAACTTGAACCGTAGGCAACCTGTCTTATCAGACCCTGGCTGCTGCAACAACCTTTGCAGCGCTTAATAGAAAAAAACAAACAAACAAAAAAGGAGAACCATCGAAATAAGCCACAAGCCGGACCATGGACCAACACCACTTTCCTGGGTCCAAGCACGCCTAGTTCCCTAACGAACACTCCTGTTCAGTGCTGCGAGCCCACAATAGAATGGAATACCATCAATGGCGCCCCAAAAACCCACTAGGCTGAACAATTCGCCCTGGACCAACGCTACAACTCAGCTTCAGCTGCTTCTGACCCACCCCGTCAGCAGGTCTCTTCTGACATTTATTGCGTTCATAGGTTCCACCAGCTGTTTAACAAACGAGCTAGCAATTTTGACTTCTTGTTCTTGTTTCTGGCGTCTCTTCCCTGCAATGCATGTATCCATCTCTGGGTACGGTCCTTCCTCAGACTAGATTTGTCTCAGCCTCTGTGGACTCTCCACATCAACAAACAGTCCTCCTGGTAAATTCCCCCTTATCCTGTCTAATTTTTGATGTTTTATTTTTTGAGACATGGTCTCACTCTGTTGCCTGGCTTGGAGTGGTAGCGACACCAACCATCGGCTCGACTACAACTTGACCTCTTTAAGCTCAAGTGATCCTCCACCTCAGCCCTCCTGAGCAGCTGGGACCCACAGTGCATACACTACCATCGCTTGCCCATTTTTTAAATTTTTCATGCAGCACAAGTTCACTACATTGCCCACAGGCTGATCTGAACTCCTGCAGGTGATCCTCTGCCTTGGCCTCTTAAATGCCTGGGATTGACAGGGCATGAGCCACTGCACCAGGCCCTTTGATTTCAGTCCGAAGCACCAAGACTAGACGCTTCCTAATCACAGAGCAGCTAGGAAGCATTCTGAAAAGCACTTTCAGGATGAGACCGATAGATATATTGGCCATAGACGTCCTTTCAGAAAGTTCCTTATACTCCTAAAATCGTATCATCGAAAGACCAGAATATGTGCCCTGTTCATTTCTCAATCGACGAAAAACCCCAATTGGATTACATGAATCTCCGTACCAGAATAGTTGGACACGCCACATCTTTTTCCATCCTTCATGATTCCGAAAAAAACTATTGGCAAGAGAGCCATCCTTGGTCCTTTTTCCTTCTAAGACTATGGACTATCATAGGATGATTCTCTTGTACTCTTATGACCTCTTATGGAGATTATATAATCTATGTAATTTTCTATTACTTAATTCTAATCATTGTTCTCTCCTGACAGTTCAAATCAGTATTTCCAACAGTAAGATTCCCTCACACTTGGATGCTCCTACTAGTCCCTCATAGATTAGTGTGTTCAAAAGGAATATACTTTTTTCCTTGCTCTTGTTCTGTTTCTCATCCACTCATTGCAGAGGAAGGATGCCACCCAGTTATCCAAACACTGAAGCATCGGCTCAAAGCGAGAAGCTTTCCATCTGTCTTATGCATGCCATATCAGTTCACCTGGTTTTCTTCCTCTTTTCTTACCAACACAGCCGTTAAAAGCTGACTCACTGGGGCCGGAGCGGTGGCATGCCTTGGTTAATCCCAGCATCTTTGGGCAGCTTAAGGCGCCGGATCACCAGAGTTTGGGATCCAGACCCAGCCTGACCAACATGATGAGAACCCCCTCTCACTAAACAATTACAAAAGTAACCAGGTGTGGGTGGGCATGCCGTAATGCCCAAGCTACTGGGACGAGGCTGAGGCAGGAGTATCCCCTGAACCTGGGAGGCAGCAGGTTGCGTGAGCGAGATCTGCAGTTGCACCCAGCCCTTGGAGCAACCCAAAGCGGAAATACTCTGTCCCTCAAAAAAAAAAAAAAAAAACAGAAAAAAAATCAAAAGCTGAGCACTCTTGACTTCCAAATCCTGTCGGACTGAACCAACATTTTTCATCTGAATATTATAGAGAGCTCTCAAGTGCGCATCTGTTTTCTCTGTGTATAGTGGTCCATCAGGAAAACTATTCTGCTACACATGCCTAAGGATATTTCTTTCTTTTTTTTTTTTTTGAGACGAGTTCGCTTGTCGCCTAGGCTGGAGTGCCAAGTGCCGTCTCATCACCTGAAGGTCCTCCTCCGGGTCAATGCATCTCCGCGTCAGCTCGAGTACGGGACTACAGGCCCCCGCAGCTTGCCGGCTTAGTTTTTTGTACTTTTAGTATAGACGGGGTTTCACCGTGTTCGCCAGGATGGTCTCGATCTCCTGACCTCGTGATCCACCCGTCTCGGCCTCCCAAAGTGGTGGGATTACAGGCTTGAGCCACCGCGCCCGGCCCTAAGTGATGTTTCTAAAAAGCAGAGCCAATCATGTCACTTCTTTAAGGATTGAGTATAAATTCGTTAGCGCGGCAGTCACAGTGGAATTTCTACAGAGAAGAGTAGATATTTTAAAAGATGCCTTCATACCATTTCAAGTTTCTCAGTGAAATTCAAAAGGATACTGTATTAGTCAACAAGTGCAGGTTATGGGGAAAGAATCCCAGAATATGATGATCCTCAGCTATGAAAAACTTAACCGCTAATCTAGAAACCGATGCTGCTGAAATCATGTAATTCAGTTGGAGGACCAGATTAAGAAAGTACAGAATTCAGAGCAAAAAGTACAAAAGATGTAATGATGAGAGCAAAGATAGAATACAAGAATAGTCCTAAAGGAAACAGAATGAATATATACCATTCCTCATGAAGAAAACAGAATAGATGAAAAAAATAATTAAATAGAAGAAGAAAACTGTTCTTCATCTGAAGAAAAACGTTGGCCTTCAGATTATAAAGGCTAACTAAGTTCCAGGCAGGATTAAACAAAGACAGATACAGACATTTCCTGCTGATATTTCTATATTCAAAGAAAAACAAGAAATACTTATCAGCACCTAAAAGAAAAGTCTAATTACCTAGAAGGAAAGAGAATCAGATTGGCTTTGAATGTCTCATCTGCAACACTAAATAGAAATAGAAAAAGTAGAGTAATTTTATAGAGCTCCGAGGGAAAGGGATTGTGTCCTTTGAATTTTTTTTTTTAATTTAGAGACAAGGTCTCACAACATTGCCCAGACTAGTCTTGAACTCCTGAGCTTAAGGGATCCTCTTACCTCAGCCAGAATTCTGAGAAACTGGGATTATAGGCAGACACCACTGCACGTGGCAGGTCCTTTGAATTCTATATGCATCCAAATTAAAAGGCATTTTCAGATGTCATAACCAAAAAGTTTTCATAATAATATGAGATTTTTATTATTTATTAGATTATTGAATAAAAATCTAGGATGTAGGGGTATAATATGGGGAAAAATATACCGTTAGAAGTTCATATACATATATTGTATATATGTTTATTTTTTGTATGTAAAATATGTATATGAAGAGGAGCAGGATATAAATAAAACAGATTTCAAATAATTGGTAAAAAGGTAAACACTAGCAGAATGTAATAAAACTTAGATTCTCAGTAATTAGAGGAAAAAGAACAAAGAAAATAGCACAGAAAGAAATAACCAATAAATGGAAAACAAAGTAAGATAATATAAATGTGACCAAACATTCCAGTTATGATAAGTAATATGAATGGCTTAAATTTAACTATTACAACACTGAGACTTTCAGATGGGTTAAAAATAAAATGCAAATAACTGCATTTTAGGGAAACACACATAAAATGGACAGAAAGGTTGAATATAAAAGAATAGGTTTAAGCGCAAGTTCTATCAAACTTACGAGATAAAAGCCCCTTATGGCTTTAATAGGCTATTTGAAATTGGAATATTTAGAAATAATCCTAATTCATTTTGTAATTTTAGCATAATCAAAGCTTAGCTAAATTCCAGAACAAAAAGTAAACTTTAAACCAAATTCACTTGTGAATATAGATGCAAAAATTCTATTTTAAATGTTGTTAAGTCAATTCCAAAGGTATAAGCCCATAATATAGCATACACAGGTAAAGCTTATTCTGGAAATGTGAGAATGGTTCGACATTGGAAAACTAATGTAATTCATTCACTGAGATGTGAACCTGATAAATGTTGCAATGGCATTTGATAAAATTTAATATCTATTCCTATTCATTTACTTACTTAAACAAATTATTCTACAACTTCTATGGTAGCCTCATATTTGTATTCCAAGTTCCTATTAGCACTGGAGACCAGTCCAAACCCTTGGCCGTTGGTTGTAGCCCTGTACTCATCTGTACCCCATCTAACTTGTCCCCTAGGACCTAGGTCCTGAATCCTGCATCCCAGCCTTGGGCAAAGGATCAGTCAAGCCACATCGCCTTCCCACTATGTAATAACAAATCCCTACTGTGTCTGAGTTGTCGCCTACTCTATATACTCACCATCAGATTGGATCCCTTGAGCAGACATCTGCCTAAATTAGAGCCAATGTTTCCTTGTCCTAGGTACTGTCAGGAGTTAGTTCCCAAGCCGTGGCCCCACTGCTCTGGGCTGAATGCCCATTTCTTTCTAGTACAACAGCCTTTGCAGTGGGGCCACGTGGCTGATGACTCTTAGTTGGCTGATCTCAAGTCCCTTCTTCTATTGCTAAGGACAATCATGAAGAAAGAAGATTAAGCTGTAGCGATAGAATGTTCAGTAGAAAACGTGAAAATGATTAATGCTGATAAACTCACTACTCTAGACAGAAGCCATTTCTGACTTGATTGTCTGCAATGTTATCAAATAATAATGTTCAGCTTATCTTTGGTCTAGTTTTCCCCATTCTTCCAATTTCTCAATCTCCAACTTCTAAAGAAGACCACTGGACTATAAATTCCCTGAGGCCAAGGAAGATCTGCTGTGTTCACTGTTGCATTCCCAGTGAGTTTAGAATAAAGGCTTGTTACTGGAGAAAGGCACTTACCTTGAGCTTTGCAATCTGCCCCACAACAGAGCCCACAGCTCCAGCTGCTGCACTAACCATCACTGTTTCTCCACCCTTCACACCACAGATGTCAAGTAGGCCAAAGTAGGCAGTCAGGCTAAAGGAAGAAAATTAAGGATATATGAATAGAGCGGTTTCTTTCTTCTATAACTCATTTATATATATCTTGTAGGCCTTCTCAATGGCCCAGTGCCATAGGTCTGAGTAAAAGACAAAAATACAGGAAATAAATATTGCCAGTCACTGTTGCTTTACTTCCTCCATCTCTACTCTCAGATAGGAATAAGATGATGTGAACTAGGGAGGGAAGGGAGAGTTGGCTAGAAAGGGGCTGTATCCTGTCCATTCACAGGCCAAATTTCAGGGGCAAAAGATAGATCATCTTTCTCAAACTTTGGGGATTCAAGAAGAGAGAGCTATGCATCATTCCCATATAAGTTCTATGGAGATGATGAGCTTCATGGGAGAAGCCCCTATGTTATCATGGTGACATAGCCACAGATAGCTACGATGTGTGATATGAGGCATGAGAGGGTCACAGGGAGCATCTGGAGCTTTCCATGACTCCAAAGTGGTATGGAAGACCTTCTGAAATTTCCCCGTATTACCCTAAGTAAGATGTCAAAGTTGGCTTGCAGGAAAAGAGCTACTGGACATACAAAGATGCAGCACTGGCAGTACTGATGGGGACTGGGTGAAGACACCACCACATCTCATTGGATTGCGAGTTTGGAAGGTGATAGGATTGAAGACTTTCTTCACCACCAAAGTTTCCTCGTGTCTCCCTTCACCTCTTCTCCCCTACACCTGGCTCACAGTCCTGAGGGAATGATGGATAACAGAGGAGAACAAAGAGGAAAAGCTCTCATCCGTGGAGTATACAGGGCAGGCAGGAAAGACCAAGAAGTGCTGGAATTGTTTAGTGCCCACTAATTTCATGGAAGACGGTATTCAGCATCCTCCACTTTCACAATGATGTCCTTGGCAGTGGCAATTTTGAAGAGTTCAAATTCTCAGTGAAATATGAATTTGGGGTACCTAGGAGTTGTTTTTGTTTAGAGGCTGATCATTTGACGGTATATATGTATTTCCATTTCATTCCTCAGAAAATCATCAAAGTGTAAAAAAGGAAGGGGAAGGAAGGGTGGGAAGAAGGAAGAGGGGAAAAGATCTCAAAACTTAGAGAAAGGAAGTAACTTTGAGCAGGAGACCAGCTTAAGACCAGTACAGATCGAGATCAAGAAGTTGTTGTCCCTCTTCTACTGATACTGAACACTTATTATCCTTGGAGCTTTGCAACAACCCCAGGGAGAAGAAAGAAGAAATCCAAAGTTTTAAATTTGAAATGATGTGAGAAATCACTGAATTTAACTGAGGTTTTCTCTTATTACACCAGCCAAAAGGAGGGCTTGAGATAGAAATGAAGTTCAATAGTGGACAAGTTTAAGCTATATTTTTGCAGCCCTGAATTTAAGTCAACAAAATCCAGACCCATTATAGTGATTGTTAAGCCACTTGCAGAATTTCAGACAAATTCATGTAAAGTTATTTCTGCATTTAAAAAAGAACAACTACCTGTTGACATTACTTAGCTTATACAGCCTCTGACTATATTTGGGGCCCATGAGAGGTTAGCATTGAATAGAAGACAGTGACAGGCACAGAAAGCACTTTTTCTGAGAATCCAAATATCTAACATTCCCTTAACACAGTGTTTTTCAAAAAGGGGAGGCAGCACCACCTATCTCAGAATCACCTGATTTTTTTTTTTTTTTGAGACAGAGTCTCGCCCTGTCGCCCAGGCTGGAGTGCAATGGCGTGATCTCAGCTCACTGCAACCTCTAACTACTGGGTTCAAACGATTCTCCTGACTCAGCCTCCCCAGTACCTGGGATTGCAGGCACTTGCCACCACGCCTGGCTAATTTTTTGTATCTTTAGTAAAGACAGGGTTTCACCATGTTAGCCAGGCTAGTCTTGTACTCCTGACCTTGTGATCCGCCCGCCTCTGCCTCCCGAAGTGCTGGAATTACCGTTGTGAGCCACCGTACCCAGCTGAAATGTTTGTTACACATTTAGATTCTCAGGCCTCACCCTAGACCCACTGATTCAGAAATAATCCAAATGTTAATAAGACTCTAGGTGATTCTTATGAATGCTAGCAATTCAGAACTACTCCCTTTACAAAAAAATTTTTTTTGAGACAGGGTCTTGCGCTGTTGCCCAGGTTGGAGTACAGTGGTGCAATCATAGCTCACTGCAGCCTCAACCTCTAGGGCTCAATCGATCCTCACACCCCAACCTCCCAAGTAGCTGGGACTACAGGCACGTACCACCACACCCAACTAATTTCTAAATTTTTTTGTAGAGACAAGGTCTCACTATGTTGCCCAGGCTGGTTTCCAACTCCTTACCTAAGACGATCCTCCTGCCTCAGCCTCCCAAAGTGCTGGAACTACCAGCATGAGCCACCATACCTGGCTGGGATGGGTCAACTTTCAAGAATGCTAGGACTTCTGATACAGACTATAAGAGAAGTTGAACTTTGAAACCTAGGGTGTCTTTTAGCTGTCCAGACTCCACAGATTTAACATTCCCCCAGTTTTCCATCATTTCCTTCAATTAAGTTGGAAGAGCACACGTATTCATGTATTTGCTCTCCAAACCACTGATTCTATTAAGTCCTTCTTAGTCCAAAGTACACCATTAATTTTCCCTCAAGGATTTCTTTACTTTTGGCTTATTCATCTTATCTCCATTTTATTTTATTTATTATTTTTATTATTATTACTTTTTGAGATGGAATATCACTCTGTCACCCAGGCTGGAGTGCAGTGGTGTGATCTCGGCCCACTGCAACCTCCACCTCCCAGGTTCACGCCATTCTCCTGCCTCAGCCTCCCGAGTAGCTGGGACTAGAGGTGCCCACCACCACGCCCGGCTAATTTTTTGTATTTTTAGTAGAGACGGGGTTTCACTGTGGTCTCAATCTCCTGACCTTGTGATCCGCCCACCTCGGCCTCCCAAAGTGCTGGGATTACAAGAGTGAGCTACCGCACCCGGCCTAATTTTGTATTTTTAGTAGAGACAGGTTTCACCGTGTTGGTCAGGCTGGTCTCGAACTGCTGACCTGGTGATCCTCCTGCCTCGGCTTCCAAAAGTGCTGGGATTACAGGCATGAGGCACCGTGTCCGGCCTCCATTTTATTTTAAAAGGAGATAATGTTTGGGAAAGGCTTTGTGTATCTTAGATCAGAATATCTAATTGAAAGCCTACTCTGGAAAATACTCTTCAAAGGTATATTGGGAGAGGGGGATGCTGGTTGTCACAGGTGGAATAACTCAATCAGAAAAAGTGTAACCTCTGCTTCTCTTTTGGGGTCAGGTGAACTGGTTCAAAAAACTCTGGCATTAGCAAAGACGATCCGTCCCATTGGTCAGTGACTCATAATGACAGGAATTCTCATTGAAAGGGTGATGTGTTGCCCGAGGATTCTTAGAAATGGGCATGTATGACTCCCCACCTCGGTCACTGAGAACCACTGTTGATTGTTTAGAGTAAACGTGCATTAACATGCACTCCTTAGTAGCTTGGATCAGATGAATAAGAAATATACACGAGTGAATGAATCACCTTCTCTTTTAGGAGTCAGGATCTCCTAATATATTACAAATTACCTTCTCAACAACCAGAGTTTCCTCATGTCTGCCTTCACCTCTCCTCCCCTGCACCTCGTTCACAGTGCAGAGGGAAGGATGGGTGGGATAACAAAGGAAGAGGAAGAGCTCTCACCCATAGAGGGTACAGGGAAGGCAGAAAAGAACAAGAAGTGCTGCAATTGTTTAGTGTCCACTAATTGAATGTAAGAAGATATTAATTTTAGTAAATATTAATTACTAAAATATTTGTTCATGCCAGTCATGGTGGGTCTAACTGAAATTTTGTATCCTTTGACCAACATCTCCCCAACCCTTCAGCCTCCCGGCCCCTGGTAACCATCATTCTACTCTCTAATTCTATGAGTTCAACTTTTTCAGATTCCACATTTAAGTGAAATAATGTGGTATTTGCCTTTCTGTGCCTGGCTTATTTCACTTCACATAAAGTCCTCCAATGTTGCCACAAATGACAAGATTTTCACACTTTTTAAGGCTGAATAGTATTCCACTGTGTATATAGACCATGTTTTCTTTCTCCATTCACCCACTGATGGACACTTAGGTTGATCTTCCTGCTTAGTGCTGCCATCTTCTCTAATCAGCCCCTGAGCCTATCGTGCATCAAATATCTTCCTGTTGACCAAGTTCTGAACAAACTATTTTGGAAAACCAGAGTGTCAGACATTCAAACAAATGGAATATATTCATGAAACTCACCCTGGCATGCCAATTGTCCCCAGAGCCAAAGACAGTGATATTGTGTCTGGCCACTCTGTCAGCAGCTTTTCCAGATCTTTTCCATCAGAAATGGAGTGTGTTGTCCAGCCTGGAGAAGTCAGTACAATAGTTCCTTTTGGTAGGTCTGCATTTTTACTTTCCACAACTCTGAAAGATAAAGCACATTAAGGCATTAAGGGATGTGGCATGTCTTCCCTTTCAAGGCAGTCAGGATACTGTGGGGTTAGTGTTGACAAAAGGGCACTGAGGTTGATATTCCACAACTGATAGTCCACCACCCCCTCCATCTTAATTCTTAGCCATCAGCATAGGGATCATCAGAGAACTCTCAACTTACCCAGCCACTTGAGGAGTGGCTCATGAGGTGAGGAGCGCCTGTTCTCACCCACTTCTATTCCTTTTAAGCATGAGGCCTCTGTCCTCTGGCTCAAGGTGACCTGGACACTAGCCTTCTCTTCTTCAGGTGTCGCTCTCTTTCCCTTGGACTTCCACTCTCCAGAATCTTTGAGATTTTCCTCTTTGTCCCTTTCACTCAACATATAAGTATGCTCAAGCAATTCTCCTGCCTCAGCCTCCTGAGTAGCTGGGATTACAGGCGCCCACCACCACACCAGGCTTATTTTTATATTTTTAGTAGGGACGGGGTTTCCCCATGTTGGTCAGGCTGGTTTCGAACTCCTGACCTCAGGTGATCCACCTGCCTTGGTCTCCCAAAGTGCTGGGATTACAGGTGTGAGCCACTGCGCCCGGCCTACCCTTTTCCACTCTATTAACACAGGGTCACCCAAAAGTCTCCCCTCATTGGTTCCCAGGATACTAATGATCTCTGCTGGCTTTTTGCCTCCTCCTCTAAGCTGCACCCTTTCTGTCTCATTTACTGATTCCCTTTTCTTCATCCAACTCTTTATCCTTCTTTACCATCTTTCGTCCCCAGATCATAAAGTTATATAACACATATTTATTCTAGAAAATTCTAAGCATATAAAATAAAAATATCAGTTCTAATCTCACAGCACAAAGAACACTGCTAACATTTGGGTGTATTTTATGTCAATCTTAATGGTATATTTAAAAATGTGTACTATATGTATATATATTTTTTTATTTTTATTTTTTTTGAGACAGAGTCTTGCTCTGTTGCCTGGCTGGAGTGCAATGGCGCCATCTCGGCATACTGCAACTTCTGACTCCCAGGTTCAAGCAATTCTCCTGCCTCATCCTCCTGAATTGCTGGGACTACAAGTGCGTGCCATCACGCCCAGCTAATTTTTATATTTTTAGTAGAGACAGGGTTTTGCCATATAGGGCAGGATGCTCTTGATCTCTTGACCTCGTGATCCGTCTGCCTCGGCCTCCCAAAGTGCTGGGATTACAGGCGTGAGCCACGTGCCCAGCTGTGTTATACATATTTACATAATTGTAATTGTATATGTTTCATAACCTATAATTTATCTGTCAACATTACATTGGTCTACATAATTTATACTTTTTTCCATGTTAGTAAGAATCCTTCAAAAAATATAATGAATTTAATTACGGCCTCATTATTAGGGTACTTTCAGTATTTTTCCTAATGTTAATCATTTTTTCCTTTTTTCTCTGAGTCTGCTTGCTAGGAAATATATTTTAATTAATATTCATAAACATGATTATTATTTTCTTTCTTTTTTTTTGAGACACGGTCTCCCTCTGTTGCTCAGGCTGGAGTGTACTGGTACGATCATGGCTCACTGCAACCTCAACCTCCCCTGAGCTCAAATGATCCTCCCACCTTGGCCTCCTGAGCAGTTGGGACTGAGTAGCTGGGACCACAGCAGCACACTATCACATCCAGCTATTTTTTTTTTTTTTGAGACAAGAGTTTCAATCTGTTGCCCAGGCTGGAGTGCAATGGCACGATCTTGGCTCACTGCAACTTCCACCTCCCAGGCTCAAGCAATTCTCGTGCCTTGGCCTCCTGAATAGCTGGGATTACATGCGACCACCACCACGCCTGGATAATTTTTGTATTTTTAGTAGACACGAGGTTTCAGCGTGTTGCCCAGGCTAATGTAGAACTCCTGACTTCAGGTGATCTACTCACCTCAGTCTCCCAAAGTACTGAGATTACAGGTGTGAGCCACTGTGCCCAGACTTTTTTGTATTTTTTTGTAGAGATGGGGTTTACCACGTTGCCCAGGGTGGTCTCAAACTCCTAGATCCACCCACGTTGGCCTCCTGAAGTGCTGGGATTATAGGAATGAGCCACTGCATTTGGCTCAATACTGTTTCCTTAGTCAGGATTTCTATAAATACTATTACTAGGTCAAAGAGTATTAAAACGTTTGTAACTCTTGCTGCATATTGCCAAATTTCCAAATTCCTTTCTAGAAGGTTGTGCCAACTTCCCCTTCCCACCATCAATGTATGATTGTATAATCTCCATTACTATAATATTTTTAAAAATAGTTTGCGCAATCCAGCAAACACAAATACATGTTCATTTCTTTAATTGTTAGCAAGAAACATATAAGACCTACATGAAGAAAACTGTTAATCGGATGCAAGACAAAATGAATAAATGGAGAAGATTACCTTGTGTTTGGAGAGAGAAATTGTAAAGATGTCAGTTTCCTCTAAATAAATCTGTAAGGTCATTGAAATCCCAGCAAAGATCCATATAAGATTTCTACAAATGGTATTATAATAACTGGCTAGTCATTGAGACACACAATTTAAAGAAATAAAGAATGAGATGTTTGGTTTTTTTTAGAGACAGGTTTTTGCCATGTTTCCCAGGCTGGTCTCAAACTCTTGAATTCAAGCAA